GAGGCTGAGGCAGGCGAGGCTGAGGCAGGCTGAGGCTGAGGCCAAGGCTGAAGGCAGACTGAGGCTGAGGCTGAAGCAGGCTGAGGCTGAGGCTGAGGCAGGCTGAGGCTGAGGCTGATGCAGGCTGAGGCTGAGGCAGGCTGAGGCTGAGGCTGAGGCTGATGCAGGCTGAGGCTGCGGCAGGCTGAGGCTGAGGCGGAGGCTGAAGGCAGACTGAGGCTGAGGCTGAAGCAGGCTGAGGCTGAGGCTGAGGCAGGCTGAGGCTGAGGCTGAGGCAGGCTGAGGCTGAGGCAGGCTGAGGCTGAGGCCGAGGCTGAAGGCAGAATGAGGCTGAGGCTGAAGCAGACTGAGGCTGAGGCTGAGGCAGGCTGAGGCTGAGGCTGAGGCAGGCTGATGCTGAGGCAGGCTGAGGCTGAGGCTGAGGCTGATGCAGGCTGAGGATGAGGCAGGCTGAGGCTGAGGCTGAAGGCAGGCTGAGGCTGAAGCAGGCTGAGGCTGAGGCTGAGGCTGAGGCTGAGGCAGGCTGAGGCTGAGGCTGAGGCTGAGGCTGAGGCAGGCTGAGGCTGAGGCAGGCTGAGGCTGAGGCCGAGGCTGAAGGCAGACTGAGGCTGAGGCTGAAGCAGGCTGAGGCTGAGGCTGAGGCAGGCTGAGGCTGAGGCTGAGGCTGAGGAGGCTGAGGCTGAGGCAGGCTGAGGCTGAGGCTGAGGCGAGGCTGAAGGCTGCTGAGCTGACTGAGGCTGAGGCTGAGGCCAGGCTGAGGCTGAGGCAGGCTGACTGTGCAGGCTGAATGAGGCTGAACTGCGACTGCCGTGACTGCGACTGTCATTGCGAATGCGACTACGACTGCGAGAACAGCAGAATTCTACAACTGGATTCTCATCCGAATCTTAAGGGGAATGCTTCCAGACTGTGCATTGCGAATGCGACTACGACTGCGAGAACAGCAGAATTCTACAACTGGATTCTCATCCGAATCTTAAGGGGAATGCTTCCAGATGTGCTCCTACACATCGATGTTAGGTTGCTTTGCCGGGATAATAGTTTTTTTGCAGGGGATGGCGGGTGGCGATACCGGTTTGGCTGGGATATTATGAATTCACAGGTCGGATTGACATTGGGTCAGCATCATGTGTGTTTTGCATGGGTTCCCGGTGAGTCTTTAAGTCTGGGGGGGAGAACGTATGTTTGCTCAACCAAGAAAGAGAAAGGATAATCTGTGAGTTGTCAACCCCACTGCTCGCGCAACTATCCCACCCACCCACCCGCAACTTGGTTTGCAAAACCCATGCGGCGGCGATTGCGATGACTGCTCGGCACTGGCTGGAGCATCGCTGCGGCCGCGCCAGCACGCGCAGGCTCGCGCGCAGAGCGGCCAGCAAGTCTGGCGCGACCGACGCGGCCGCGGTGGCGCTGACCGTTGGGGATTTCCTAGCGCGTCCCGCAGGCCGCGCGCACGCGCTGGCACTTCAGTGCGAGTCGGTGATTCGGGGCTACGCGGTATCATGGCGACGTCGACAACGGCAGAGATGATGTTGATAGTAGCGATGTCGGTGACGCTGAAGACGGTGACGACAGCAAGGCCAATGACGGCGCCGATCCTGATCACGCCGATGGCGATGATGGTGTCCACGCGTCGGCGATGAAAGCGTCGGGGAAATTTCGACATGCGCACGCGGCCGGCAGGCGCGAGTGGTCCGCACGATATTATTTGGAAGGGGTCATGGTGCCCCCTTCCACCAAGCGCAAGAGGGCGTTCGAATGATTTCGACATGCGCGTTCGAGAGACCCGCTGGGTCGCATTCGATGAACATGTTGAACACCAGTGGATATCGCAAGAATGCGCAGGAGCGCGCGCAGAAGTCATTAGACACCCATTTTACAAAAGCCGCGTGTTGTTGTGTATGTTTTCGGCGAATTCGATCTTGACATATCTACGAAGGCTAAGGCGGTTGAAGAATTCTTTACGCTTCGCGTATCCCCACCAACCCATCTCACAGCAGCAACTCTCGCGAAGCATGCCGACCGTCGTGTTTTTCAGGCGTGTGTCCGCTTGGCCCCGCATATCTCCCCTGTTCCTCCTTCCTCCCGCCTCCTTGTACATCCTCCTTGTGGGGGGAGCGGGAGAAGGACGAGGCGGAGGAGGAGGGAGAGAAAGCGCTCCTCGTGATTTGAGTCGTTTGGGGTTTCTCGTCCTGGTGTGAGTCGTTCGGGCCCTCCTTCCTGGTGTGAGTCGTTCGGGCTCTTCGTGGTGTGAGTCGTTCGGGCTCTTCGTCCTGGTGTGAGTCGTTCGGGCTTCTCGTGGTGTGAGTTGTTCGGGCCCCTCATCCTGGTGTGAGTCGTTCGGGCCCCTCCTCCTGGTGTGAGTCGTTCGGGCTCCTCGTGGTGTGAGTCGTTCGGGCCCCTCCTTGTGGTGTGAGTCGTTGGGGCTCTTCGTGGTGTGAGTCGTTCGGGCCCCTCGTCCCGGTGTGAGTCGTTCGGGCTCCTCGTGGGGCCTCTTGGGGGCCTCTTGGAGCCTCCTGGGGCCTCTTGGGGGCCTCTTGGGGGCCTCTTGGGGGCCTCTTGGGGGCCACTTGGGGCCTCGTGGGGCCTCTTGGGGGCCTCTTGGGAGCCTCTTGGGGGCCTCTTGGGGGCCTCTTGGGGCCGCTTGGGGGCCTCTGGGGGGCCTCTTGGAGGCCTCTTGGGAGCCTCCTGAGGGCCTCTTGGGGCCATCTTGGTGCCTCTTGCGACCTCCTCAGAAGCGCAAATGAGAGCTGCCCCCTGAGAAGGACAAAATGAGCCCAAAACCTTCATAAAATCAATGATTTTGCTATGAAGGACGAGGAGCGCTGCCCCCTCAGAAGGCCAAAATGGGGCCAAAACCCTCGTAAAATCAATGCTTTTGGCTTCGAAGACGAGCTGAGGGGCCAAACTCCCTCCCCCCGTCGGGGCCAGAATCCTCGTGAGTGTCGTCGTTTTTTGGCCCTCCCAGGAGTCGAAATTGACCGCCCTGACACCACCCCGGACTCCCTGTCCAGGTCCAGGGGGAGGGGGTAGGGGGAGGGGTAAACCCCTCCCCGAAGGGGAAGAAGGGGGGTTGAGGACAGAGCGGGCTCTCTAAACCACTCACGCCCAAAGGGCTGGTGGGATTACGGGATGCGCGCGCGACGATGCGAGTGTGTCGATGTTATTTTGCCTTTTCCCCAATCCTTCTGTGGTGATGGGTCTTCGGCTTGAAGAGACAGTGCCCCGCGCTCCTTAGTTTTATCCTTCATTATTTCCTCCTCCTTCCCTCCTCCCCTGCGTGCCTCTGTTTCCCGAATCAGTCTACCATGTGGGCACACCCCTCACATGCTTCGTGGCCCCATGGAGAGCTCCACCGAAGGCCCCAGTAGCGGTGTCCACATGCGCCCCCGCCACATTTCGGCACATGCCTCACACTTTTCACGCTTCCTTGGGGGGCTCTTCCAAAGGCCCCCATGGCGGTACCCACTTGCTTTCCCCACATTCTTTCCTGCACACCCCTCGCACGCTCCGTGCCCCCATGGGGAACTCCACCGATGACCCCAGTGGCGGTGCCCACAGGCGCTTCCACAACCCATTCGGTACACCCCATCACGCGTTTCGTGGCCCCACAGCGAGCTCCACCGAAAGCCCCCGTTGCGGTGTCTACATGCGTCCCCGCCACCTTTTTTTCGGCACGCCTTTCACACGCTTCGTGGCTCCATAAGGAGCTCCACCGAAGGCCCGAGTGGCGATGTCCACATGCGCCCCCGCCACCAATTTCGGCACACCCCTCACACGTGTCGTCCCCTCACAAGGAGGTCAACCGAAGGCCCTGGTGGCGGTGTCCACATGTCTCCCCGCCACCAATGTCGGCACGCGTCTCACACGTTTCATGGCTCTATAGGGACTGCCCCACCGCAGGCCCCAGTGCCGGTGTCCACATGCGTCACCGCAACCAATTTCGGCACACCCCTTTCACGCTTCGTGGTCCCGTAGAGAGTTCCACCGAAGGGCCAAATGCCAGTGTTCGCATGCGTCCCCGCGACCAATTTCGGCACACTCCTCACACGTTTCGGGGCCCAACAGGGAGCTCCACCGCAGGCCCCAGTGGCGGTGTTCGCATGCGTCCCAGTCACACATGTCGGCACACTCCTCACACGTTTCGTGACCCAACATGGAACTCCACCAAAAGCCCCAGTGCCGGTGTTCGCATGCGTCCCCGTCACACATTCCGGCTCACTCCTCACACGCTTCGCGGCCCAACAGGGAGATCCACCAAGCGCCCCGGTGGCGGTGTCCGCATGCGTTCCCCGCCCGTCCTTTCGGCACACCCCTCACACGCTTCGTGGCCCCACAGGGACCTCCACCGAAGGCCCCAGCAGCGGCGTTCTCATGCGCCCCGCCACCCACTTCTAGAGACTTGGCGACCTGGGCGCACGGTCGCGGTGCGATCGCCTCCCTGCTGCAACAGAGGCTGATGAAGCAAGACAGCCCATCAAGACAAAGTTGGGCAGATTGCATTTCAGCCGGTGTTGCGGGGGGGGGGGGGGGGGGGGAAATCCCAAGAGGCCCCCGAGAAGCCCCCAAGAGGTTCAAAAAGACCTGGAAGAGGCCCCCAATAGACCCCCGAAAAATCCCCGCGAGGCCCCCACGAGAGCCCAAAAGGTCCCCACGAGGATCCCGAGAGTTTTCCAACAGGCCCCCAGAGATCCCAAGAGGCCCCACAAGGCCCCCCAAAGGCTCATCAGACGGGCCCAAAGACTCCCCAAAAGCTTCCAAAGAGCCCCAAAGTGGCTCCACAAGGCCCCCAACAGGAAAGAATGCAGGGAGGGATGGAGGACAGGGGAACGGAGGTGGAGGAGGAGGAGGAGAGGAAGGAAAGTCAAATGGGAAAGGGCTGGACGAGGGAGCGAGGTGCCCCACATATGATTTCGACCCACCAGAGGTCACGACTGTGTTCTGACGTTGCCGCGCCCCGCGCTGGAACATCAGCTCGCGCGAGGCGCGTGGTCCAGCGAGGAAGCAGCATGGTAACACAATACAGAAATAGATGGGGAGAAAGAGAGAGAGAGAGAGTGTGTGTGTGTGAGCGCGCACAGGAGACGTTATCATCTCTTCGAGACCTTACCCACCTTCTTTTTCAAGCGCTACCTCCCCACATGCCGTCGCACCAAGTTGCGAGAGAGAAGGCGAAAACATAACAGAAGGGATTATGGGAAGCTGAAGTTTGGACAACACGGTTGGGAAATGTTGAATAGCGCGTGGCTCCGTCGGTTCTGGCCCACCACGCTTCGGAGCGACACGATTTCCACTTCCCAACCTCCAAGCGTCCACGTCCGGAGCCTCCCTGAGCCTCCCGCCCCGCGGAGCGGAGCGTCACGCTATCCGCTTGCATAGCGCCTCGCCGGGGCCGCCGCGGCGACACGCTATCCAAAAGTTCCCGGCCGTAGTTCCCCGACCAGAACCTAAGCGCGCGTGAAGCGCACGCGTAGTTCTAGTGTAGATATATATATATATATATATATATAGATGTATGTGTGTGTGTGTGTCTACATTGTATGTGTATGTGTGTGTGTGTGTGCGTGTGTGTCTGTGTGTGGATGTTGGCGACAATGTCGGCTCCAGATCAAGCTGGAGCAGTAGCGGTCAGCGTAACGGGTGAACGCGCAGGTTTCGGCCAGATCCGCGGCCTCGGAGAGGTCCAAAACCTTCGTTTTTCCCCGCCCCCGCCTCTGCAAACAGTGCCGACGTGGAGGATGTATGCCCACATATACATATAACGGCGCACCTGGTCCGGGGGCCCGGGGCCGGGACCCCGACCACAAATGTGGGCCCCGGGGGGCCCGGAGGCTCGTCGGACCGCCGGACGCCGTCCAAGATCGTTCGCAGGCGGCTTCGGAACGCGCTCCGATGGCTCCAGATGCCTTCCAAGACGCCTGTCATGACACCAAGAAGGTCCCAGAAGCCTCCAAGACGCTCCGAGAGGCAGCCCAAGAGAGGCCCAAGAAGCAAAAATCGTGCCATTCCTATGGGAAAACGTATATTTTTCGCATGTTCGCCTCTTGGGCTTTCACCGCGTCCAAGACGGCCCAAGAGGCGCCCAAGACCGCCCCAAGACGGCCCAAGAAGCTTCCAAGAGGGCCCCAGGACAGCCCAAGAGGGCCCCAAGACGGCCCAAGAGGCGCCCAAGATGGCCCAAGAGGGCCCCAAGACGGGCCCAAGAGGGGGCCCAGAGGGGGACCACGAACCGCAAGCTCGAGCCTTCCGCCCCAAGAGGCCGCCAGGAGGCCCCAAGGAGGCCCCTCAAGAGGCCCCAGGAGACCCCCAAGAGGCCCAAAGGAGGCCCCGAGAAGCCCCAAATCGGCCCCCAAAATGCTTCGAACCTGCTTCCAGGAGGCCCCCGACAGGTTCAAAGGCTCCCGAGAAGCTACGTCAAACTCCCAGCGAGCGGCCGGACGAGGCCCCCCACAAAATCACAAGAGGGTTCGGTTCCAGTATTTGTATCCTTCAGCGCTCTCTGGCCTTCTTCCCCCTGCCCCCTTCCCTGCGACTTTCGTTGACTCAAGCTCGCCTCCTAGCTAGAACCTAAGCGCGCGCGAAGCGCGCGCGTGGTTCTAGTCTCTCTCTCTCTCTCTCTCTCTCTCTCTCTCTCTCTCTCTCTATATATATGTATAGATGTAGATGTGCATGTGTATATGTATACAGATACACACATGTATGCATAGTAGGAACGTACACATAGACATGTTGATACACAGAGACATGCGAATGCATACATGCGAATGCATACATGCGCATCTACAAAAAGGAGGGGAAAGCCTTGGACGGCCGTGCTGTGAAAGAGAGCGCATGGCGGAGGGGAGAGGGACGATGCGGGTGAGCAGAAGCAGGAGAAGAAAGCCGTGAATTGCCGCGCTGCAAGAAGTGGCCCCGAGACTGGCTGGGTCTTGCTGACGGGGGGCTTGACCAGCATGGTTGGCCACTTCGCTTTCGGTGCGTTCGTCATGTTCTCTCAGCCCTCCTCCCGCCTGACAGTTCCTCATCTTGCTTACCGAAGCGTTGTGGGGACTCCGATAACGCGCAAATGGTTGTTGGACTGGCGGGTGTGCCTGAACAGGTAGTTGAGGCGTGAAGTTCCGAGGGTGATGTAGTAGAATATAGGAGGATGAGGGGCGGCAAGGGGCGATGAAGGCCAGCTGTTTGGGGAGACAAGCAGTGATTAGCGTGAGGATTCGGAGGATGAGGGCGAAGAAGGACGGGATGACGAGGAAGAGAATTGGGAGGGCGAGGAAAATGATAAGAGAGGGTGGGTCAGGAGGATGACGGGAAGGGTAAGGAAGGAACAGCGGAATGGGGTGGAGGGGTGAGGAGGACAAGATGGAGGGGATAAGGGCGAGAAGCACCAGGAGGAAAAGGAGAATGTTAGGGAGGGCGAGGAAGAGGATAAAGTAACGGAGTGTGGGGAGGAATACAGAATACGAGGGGAAGCGTCGATCACGAGGCGAATGTCGGATGTCAAAGGGTACGCGTGCATGTACATACATGTATACACGCATGTGTCCACATATACAAGTATGATGTTTATGCCCGCGTGTCCTTCGGCTTATCCCGCCAACGCGCGTGGGTTGTAGGGCAGAGGCCTCTTGGATGCCTGGTGGGATAGATCGGGATGCATATCAGAAGCCTATTGGAAGCGGTTTCGGGTTGTCTTGAGGACCTCTTGGGGGCCTGCTGGCGGTCTCGGGGGTTATCTTGGGGCGGAGGGCCTGAGATGTCGGTTCGTACTCCCTCTCTTGGAGCTCTCTTTGGGGCCTCGTGGTCTGTCTTGGGAGCCCCTTGAGGCCCTCTTGGGCCGTCTGTTGGCTCTCCTGGGGGCCCAGTGGGCCGTTTGGGACGATACTGATGGCTTCCTGGGCCGTCCTGGAGCGTCGGAAGACCGAAAAGGCGAGAATGCTAAAATCAACCAGTAAGCTCAGGAGAACCAAAGAAGTTAGCCTCTTCGGGCCCTTCTTGAGGGCATCTTGGAGTTCTCTTGGGTCATTTGTAGTGGCCTATTGGGCATCCTGGAGCGCTCTTGGGGCGACTCGGGCCCTTCTGGGACCATATTGAAAGCCTCTTGGGACCCGCTTGAAATGTTTTGGGGCCCTTTGCCCCCCAGAAAAGTTGAGCGAGGACACGCGGGAGCACGCGACGCACCCCAAAACATCCGGCAGTTTGCCCGGTGACCGAAATTTTCAATCCTCAGGAGTGTGGTCGGAGAGTTCAAGGGACCCTGACCTGAGAACATTACAATTCACGCTTCGCGGCACGGTGGCGCAAATGTATGTGTATATAGCACACCGCAGTTGCGGAAAAGACTGACGATGAGGCCGCGGAGTGGGTCGCGGGTGGGTCATGGGGCGACTCGCGGGCTGGGTCGCGGGCTGGGTCGCGGGTGTGTTGCGAGTGGGTCGCGGGTGGGTCCCAGGTGGGTCGCGGGTGTGTCGCGGGTGTGTCGCGGGTGGGTCGCGGGTGGGTCGCGGGCGGGTCGCGAGTGGGTCGCGCGTTAGGTCGCGGGTGGGTCGCGTGTGGGTCGCGCATTAGGTCGCGGGTGGGTCGCGGGGCGGTCGCGGGGCGGGTCGCGGGTGGGTCGCGGGTGGGTCGCGGGTGGGTCGTAGGTGGGTCGCGAGTGGGTCGTGGGTGGGTCGCGGGCCGGGTCGCGGGCGTGACGACGACAACCAACAACATTCAACAACCAGCAACAACAATCCGAACCGCAGAAGCCCATTTCAGCCACGCACCCAGGGACAGTGAATGACCGTCCGGCCCCTTCACCCCGATACATATACAACGATTTACGCATAGCAAGGCATACAGCTATATTAAATAGAGTCACAGGCATATACTCACATATATGAATGTCAGCATGCATACCTACAACCAGCATACGCACATGCACAAATGGACACACGTATGCATAAGCATACGCACATACCCGCATATGCATACGGGAGTCGTCTGTTATGTCTCCCTACATCTGTAAAATAGACATACGCATGTACATATAATGTGATGCGTATGCAAATGGGCATGCATACGTGTGTGCACATGTACTTGTGTATGCGTATGTCTATGCATACGGATATGCATGTGCGTAGTATGTGCATGTGTATGCGTATATATGGTTGTGAATTTGCAGTTGTAAATGTTCATTTAGATGTACATATGTAGAAGTGTATCGTGTTCGCTGAATCGCTGCTTATTTACATGTGTATATACATGTGTGCGTCCCGTTTTCTCTATGTTTCTCTCTCTCTCTCTCCCTCGCTCTCACTATTGCTGAGGCCGTACGGCCGGTGCCGCCGACCCTGAAGACGACGACGACGAATACGAGGAGGAGGAGGAGGAGGAGGAGGGGGATAAAGGTGGAAGGGAGGGAGCAGGAGAAGGCGAAGGAGATGTTCCCCATGTGGGCCGAGGGAGTCGTAGCAGAGACAGACAGGGAGCCTCGTGGCCTGCGGCCCTTCCCGCCACCGTGCTGGGGTTGTGGTGGAAACGCGTCTTGGATGGTTTCGGGCCTGTTTGGGGCCTCTGTTGGGCCTTTGAATGGTTTCGGGCTCGAAGTGTCCGCTCGCGTCCCCGTCTGGGCACGATCTTGAAGCGCTCCTTGGGGTTGCTTGGGCCGTCCTTGAGGCGCCTTGAGCTGTCTTAGACTGTTCTTGGGCATACGTGGGACTCTTTTTAGAGACCTCTGGGGCCGTCTCGAGGCGTTCTTGCAAGTCTCGTGGGCCGGTTTGGATCGTCGGGAAGCGGAGGCCAGAAAGCCTAAATCGTTCCAAAACGCATTGGAAATCAATGAAAGTTGCTTCATGGGGGCCGTCTTGGGAGTGATCCTGGGTGCTTCTTGGGGCGTCTTGCACGCCTCTCGACCCGTCTTGAAGCCGTGAAGGCGTCTTGGACAGATCGTTCGGCCATTCGGGGCAGTCTTGGACCTTCTTGGGGACCTCTTAGGGCACTCTTGGCGCTTTTATGGGCTCCGCGACGCCCAGGGGCGGATGCGTATCTGAACCCCCCCGGACCCTCCCGGGACCCCCCCCCCTCGGCGGGGGAGGGATCAAAGGTAAGGGGATTCCCTTCGACTTAAGTACGACGTTGCTACGTTTTTCTCTCGCTGGCAGGCTTGAAGAGAAGGGTGCAGGGAAAGGGGACGACGGAGACTCAGGGAAATAGGACAACGGATGCGTCGACTGAGAGCACGCCGACAGGGGGTCCACACGCCGACAGGGTCGGCGGATTTCTGCATGTGCCCCTTCTTCATGTCTCCCCCTTGTTCCATGCAGTCCTCCTCTTGCCCTGCTTCCGTCCCTCTCTCCCTGCCCATCCATACATTCACCTCCCTTGCTCCAGTGAGGGGGGGACGGCGACGATATCTACAAGAAAAGATAGCAAGGAAATAAGAGGAAGAAGACGAAGGCGACGAGGATGAGAAGAAGGAGGAGGGCCTCAGTCCCTTCCTCTCCTATCCCCAATCGGCGCTCTTGCGGACGCCACCTACCAGCTCAGCCCCATGCACGGCCGCCAGATGGTAGCGCAGCTGGTGTGCCTGTGCATCGTCCCCCTCACAGTGGTCCCCGTCCGGCAGGGTATGGGCAGGAGGATGAGTAGGAGAAAGGCCGAGGATCGAGGCTCGTGGTTTTTGGACGGCTTGCTTTCTTGGGGGGCGTTCTGGGAGGCTTGCCGTGACCACGGCTAACTCCGCACTGGCATTCTGGCAAGAGCGCACCCAATGACATGTCCAAAGGTCCATGTTTCATCAGACGGGGGGGCATAAAGAGGATGAAGGAGGGGAGGGAGGGGAGGGCGGGGAGGGAGGGGATAGGAGCAACGGCAGGAGCGGGAGCGGGAGCGGGAGCAAGAGGGCCAGAAGGAGGACGAAGAGTACGGCCTCGGTTCGCCCTCTCTGTCGTTCCCCCCCCCCCCGTGTCGTCCCCTCTCCCTGTCGTCGCGCTCACCAGCCCCACCAAGGCCGCAAGCGAGCCGTTCCCCCAAGGCCCTTCCCCGCTCACCCTTTTGGTGTGCGCAGGGGGTGGAAGGGGGGGGGGGGGGGGCTGCATGCACCTGCGGGGCGAGGGCCGTCAGCGTCGAGCTTCGAGGGGGAGGACGGGGAGAACGGGGGGGAGGCGGCGGCGGGAGAGGCAGCGAGCAGCAGCAGGCCGGGAGGCTGGAGGGGCTGGGAGGAGCGCTCCAGGAGCGCCGACGGCGGGCGGGGGGCGGCCCTCCGCCCCGCGGGGAGGGGCTCCTCGGAGGCGGATAGACCTACCCTGACACGTCGATTGAGGAAGTGGCCGTTTTCGGTTCGCGAGAGGGCGTCGCGGCCGTCATTTTGGCGGGTCCAGGTCCGTCGGTTTCGGTCCCAGGCCGTTTTTCACTAAGGGGAGGTTTACTAAAGGGAGAGTTGCCCACCGCCGAGTTCAGAGGTGGAAGCTGGCCGCAGGGAGTCCAGCGTGCTCCCCCTCCTTGTTGCAATTGGGCTGTTGCGTTCTGGGCTGCTGCGTTCTGGGCTGGCGCGCCGTCCTCCTCGAACGCGGATGCGCGGGCACGGAGTGGAGGACGAAGTTCTCAGGGTGGACAGACCAGGGCTTCGCGTTGATGAGTCGTTTGCAATGTCGAGGGAGCGTCTGGGCTGTTGCGTTCTGCAGTGAAAACATGTACGGGCATCCTGCTTGGACCAAGCGGCAATTGATTCGGCGAGGCCCACGTAGAAGATTGACATGTCATGGCCAGTGAGAAGGACGGCGAAATAGGCAAGCGACCAGAAAGTATAGCTGGCCTCACAAGACGGGTAGGAGAGTGGAGGACCGATCGATACCGAACGATATCCTAAGAAACAGGAGGCACCGAACGAGGGAGAGAACGAAACACGCGTGCAAGCAAAATGCAAATTCTCTGTAGCAGAATGAGAAGCAAGCCTCGAGTGATTACACCATCGCGTCCTCCTAACCCAGCCTTACCCCTCAATATCCAATC